TCTGTATATATGTGTATTCCTTTACTTTCTCTTTTGTGGGGGATTATTAGAAAAAAGAAAGTAAAAGGGCGGTGCCGCCCCATATGCACCGCCCAAATCATTTAAAAAAAAATAATAATAATAGTATAATAATAATATTTTTAGAGAATTGAGGCCAATTTGGCAAATTGCAAGATTCCCTCAAATGCTATAAATAGAGGGAGTTCGGACGGGAGAAAAGGCACAAAACAGAAGACAAAAGGAGAGGAAAGAAAGAGAAAGAGAAAGGAAAGAAAGATAGATTTATGTCCAAATATCGGATATAAAAATATCAAAAGAGAAGAAACAAGTGATATTTTTATTTGTTTCAGAATATTTCTTTTATTACTAAGTGCTCAATTCTCGATTCCGTTCCCGTTCGCCGGAGCTCGTAAATCTGGTGTGCTACAGATTTAGAGACGGTTGCCGTTGTATCTTTGGGGAAAGTTACGCCTGAACCGTTAGCAGACACACGGGGCGTATTCTTCTTGCGGAAAGAGTTCTACTCGCCTCGGCTAAAAATCTTTCCGTTTTTCAATTGTATTTTATTTTTCAGTTCAATTGTAATTTTCTATTTTTAGATTATTTGTAAGAACTGAAAATTACATATCAGTTCGTAGGATTCCCGTGTAATTTTACACAAAATATCCAACAACTTCATGCTTTGAGAACTCAAATCAATAAATGTTTAGTAAAGCATTTTATCTAAGCTTCAAGATCCACCAATTTGGTATTGCTAATGTGTGCTTTGAGAACCCAAACCACGTTGATACTTATCCAAACATTTAAAAACATTGATTATGAGACTTTTGCATAGAATATATCTTTCTTTAAATCTTTTATATAAATTTCAGTACGGGATTGGTCTGACGTGAAAATGAGGTGAGATTGAGAAGCCAATGTTGAGTACAAAAGTGATGAAAAAATTCATGGGTGAAGAGGGTGAGATTGAGAAGCCAATGTTGAGGGTCATTATGCCTTATGATTATTTTTTCGAATATTTTAGAAAAATGTGGCTCCTATTTTTGTCGAGAACCATTTCAAGAATATGCTAAATATTCACCATAATAAACCCGACGCATCGAGAGAAGTCTAAGGAACGCGAACAGAGTGTTTTGGAGTCAGATGAGGGCCTCGAGCCCGCCTCGCGCGGACTAGGGACTCCCAAAATCTTTTGCTTCTCGGGTGGTGGAGAACAATGGTGCTTGCGTTGAAGTATATGGCCAATCCAAAAGAACAACTTGTAAGAATATTTTATATTCTTACATTATTGTGGAATATATAATCACATTACAAAAAAATCTCTTACATTCTAATAGAAATTTTCGTTTGAATTCTTTATATTTTTCGTTGGAATAACTATTCCAATGGATATTCCTACATAAAAATTCGTGGAAAAAACAGTCGTTGGAATAGCTAAAATCCAACGAAAAATCCTATGAAAATAAATTCCTACAACTATTCGAACAGATTTTTCCTCAACCATCCAACACTTATTCAAACATAAAATTAAGTTTATTGAAATATTCATTGAAATTTTCAACGAAAATTATTGCCGTTGAAATTTTTTGTTGGAATTAAAGTGTTTTCTTGTAGTGTTAGTTGAACCTAATTGAATCTATAGTTAAACTTAATTAAAAAGAATATGTATTTAATGCCCAATCCAAAAGAACAACTTGTAAGAATATTTTATATCCTTACATTATCGTGGAACATATAATTAATTGAACTTAATTGAATTTATAGTTAAACTTATATAATTAATTGAACCTAATTGAATTTATAGTTAAACTTGATTAAAAAGTATGTATTTAATGTTCTAATCTGACTAATTGTCAAAGGCAAACATCACAAATTTGAACTATTTAATATTAGACCGCTCACTAGCTAATCGAAAAAAAAAAAAAATGTCTCTGCAATTCTTCTTAGTTGAGTTGGTGGGTTCGACTAGAAAAACTATGCTTACACACGACTACCCGAAAGCTTCGCGGGGACTATTTTACGACTAAACATAAAATATATATTTATTGCAACATGAGCAACAGATATTCAATTCAATACATAATGTAATATATCATCATCAATTCTTTTTATTTTTATTTATCATCAACGATTCAAATCATGTGCTTCACAATAAAACCACCCTCAAATCATGAGGTAGAAAACGTTTTTACATGCACGATGAAAGTGATAAATTAAGGAGTTTTTTCAATACAAGACCCGAAAGATAGGTAAACTGTCAATTCGAGGCTCGAAAGATAGGTAAAATTAAACCACGATTCTTGTTCTCAAGCCTCTTTAATTTTCATGGCAATAGCAAAAATGGCTCCAATAACTGCTACCACCGCCCCTGAAATCATGAGAGTAGATTTCAGGTTCTGTCCACCTTTTTTTCCACACTCTTTTTTCCCTTCTTCATCTTTATCCTTCACCAAAACAACGTACCCAATAAAATTCCTCTTTTTTTTTTCCCTTATTTTTTGCTCCCACAAAGAGAGAAGGGCCAAAAAAAGAACAAAAAAATGAGAGATTCCCGTTACGGAACCATTACGTAGGAGTTTGTAACCGTTAGATCAATTATCCAGGACGGTTACATGATCATCTAACGGTTACAAATCCTGACGTAACTTGACTATAGCATTTTTTTTTCCAAAAAAGATTATCGAGAAATACCGAAAACGAACTCAATTTCGATAATAAGTTGAAATTAAACTAAACCATATATATACCTGAAGTTGCTTTGAGGTGACGTAATCCGGGTCGGGCTGGGAAGTATCCGGGCCGACAGGGCCGGGCCCTGAAGTGTCCCCATCAACCAAGACATCATCTGGATAAGTGAAAGAATCAATATCAGTTGATGGACTTTCTACTTTTGCTTCAGCACTTGCCATTTTCTCGCTCTCCCACAAATTCCTCAAGCTTGATAATTGATTCCTGCAAGATTGTCGGTTTATATTTTTAGCAATTTATGGAATAGAAAAAGGGGAGATAAAAAGATGATGATTTGTTAAAAAAGTGATGGCGACACGTAAGGTGTGTATTTAATACGTGTTGTGATAAAGCTGTTGTCACTTGGCAGCATGTAAAGGACGACACACACACACACACACGCACAAAATGTATGAAATGAAATTGTGTGATCTACGAGCACTTGGATAAGATGGCTTGGGTCTCTTCCAACTTAATCAGTGGTCTCGGGATCGAGCCCTGGGAATGCAGCAGTGTTAAAACTCTTGAGGGAGAGCTTTGCCGCCCTTGTGGTCCTACCCGGCTCGATTCCGGATTAGTCGGGTCCCCTGTGGATCCAGAAACCGGAAGATCCCTGTACCAAAAAAAAAAAAAAAAACTGTGTGATCTTATCTGGGTGCT